GCTTTACAAGTTAATGACAATTGAAGGCAAAAAGCAGTACAATTTAAAGCAATTTGAAGATCACACAGCAAAGGTTTCAAGTTGTATTTGTCCTATGCAAGTCAACACGGGGTCAACAGTACAATGAAAAGTGTTGGACAAGAAGAAACAGCTCTGCAGTGAAATAGTTCAATTAAAATAAAAGCAAAGTAGAAAGGGCTCACTGTAAAAAAAGTCAAATACAACACAAAACTACACACATTCAAACTGTAACTGTACAGAGTGTGTGTATGAATAGTCAACAGAGCACAGACACCACAATAAAAAATGTTCAAGCTGAGAAAACTGTAAAAACGAGATAAAATAAAGCAAGAATATTTAAAATAGACGATAAATTCAGGACTAGAAGGAAGCACGTCTGGAAAATGAGTCTGGAAAACGAGTACTTGCTCTGAACAGCTGACTGGATGGTGGTTTAGAGCCTTTGTAAGATTATGACGAGTCAATCATTTTAATTCTGTGTTATGTTCATGATTTTAAATGTCTGAACCCACAGAGCCGCGTGTTCCACCCGGAGGCATTTAGTCGACGCACCTGAAGAACGACCGGGTTGCGCGGTGCACACCAGGAAGTGCGAAGAAACAGATGTGTCTTGTTTCCCAGCTCAGTTCTCTCATGTCTGCGGATTTCTCCTTTTTACTCTCGATCCCTCCCGAGACAACTCGCTCCTAGAAGACGGACCCACGAGCCTCCAGAGGAGACGAGGCCCCGCGTTTTTAAAAACATGCCCCGCAGAAAGGTAAGGCTGCTGTTAGCTGCAGCTCGGACACACAACAACAACAACAACAACAGGACGCTGTGGCTAACGTTAGCTAACATCACCGGTCGTGTGTGATGATCTGTGGCTGTGCGACATTAACATTAGTGAGTTAATGAGAGAGTGTGTGTGTGTGTGTGTGTGTGTTGATCCTCAGCTGCCATGTTGTGTTTTATGCTACAAGCTAAGCTAGCGCCTGCTTCCTGCTGAGTTGCGGGTTTGTGTTGTTGTTGTTGTTGTTGTCTGTTCAGGAATGCGGAGACGGGAACATTTGTGCGATGCGACTCGAGGTTGTGTGTCTGTGACGCTGGTTCCGGGTGAACGTCGCTCACGCGCTGAGAAAAAGGGAACGAGCTGTTCTTTCAGTGCGAGCGTGACACGCAGCGTCCGCATCAAAACAACGCTGTGATTGGTCAGAGCCCGGAGAGCGACGCGTTCATTGGTTGGGCCCTCCCGGTCCCCGCCCCTTCTCTAATGTCATTGGTCCCGCGTGAAGCTGTCAAACACGTTGACGCGTCGTGTTGTTTGTTTATTTCTCCCGCAGACTTCATCAACCTGCATCAAGATCTGAATTTAAATGATTAATCAATTAATAAAGTTCATTAACTGCGATATTATCAAGTATTAAGTTACTCATTCTTCTTCTTCTGCTGTAATATTGCACATTTTCTCATAGTGGGACTAATACAAGTATTATCTTAGTGTTACTTCTATCAGGCACGCTCTGCATTTACTCCGTACACACGCTATACTGTTGTTTTCTTCGTATTGTACATCGTGTACTTTAACAGATAACACCAGATACTGCATCAGTTCATTTATATGCGCTGGTTTAGGATATTGAAAACTTAGATAACAAATGTAAAATAAGAACAGGAACAGAATCAATATCATATTTCATGATGTCCCATGGAACCTTGCAGCCCCGTGAGCTGTTCAGTGGATGCAGCTTGTTCTGTGAAATGCAAATGACATGTCGGGGGGCCGCTCTCCACCCCACCCCCCACCTCCAGCCGGGTATCGGTGGAGAATGAGACCCTCAGTGTTCAGCATCACTTCACTGGCTCCGCGTGCAGCTCGGCCGCCTGCTGTCAATGGGTCTACGGGACATTTCATGTATTCATCTGTTCATTGAGGCCACACCAGACATTTATATATATAAATATATTATATATTATTTAAATGTGTATATTAAAACCTGGGCTCGGGACGTTATCAGGTCTTTGAGCATCGTGATGAGAGGCTGCAGAGGAGATGTGACGGGATGATGCCCCCCCCCCCCTCAGAATGGGATCTTTGCTGAATTATCCGCTGGTAAAACAAAGAAACCAACTAAACCACCCGCGTCAGGACTTCAGGTCTTTTCACTGACCGGTTGTAAATCGGATCTTGACGCCGAGTCCACGGCGGAGCTCCGGGTTCACTGACGCTGCCTCTGCTTGTTGTTTCCAGAGAACCGCCGGCAGCAGCTCGGACGGGACCGAGGACTCGGATTTTTCCGCCGATCTCGAACAAGCCGAAGTTCCCGAGAGCGCGCACAGGCGCAGCAGCACGCGCCTGACCCGCGCGTCCCTGCGCCTCAGCCAAAGCTCACAAGGTAAAAAGTTTGATGGAAGATGAAGAATTACAGGAAGCTATATATTCATTACAGCAATAAACCACAGACATTTGTGTTAAAGAACAGAAGTAACATGAAGGAATAATCACAACTACCTTGTTTATAGAGCTCCCTTCAAATTAATACTATTAATACACAACAGTGAACAAATAGTGAAACAATACACATGGAAGAGCATAAATAATGATGGTAATATAATAATAGAGATAAAAGTAAAATATTAACGTGGCTTTAAATTCAGTCATGTTTTTAGCCAAGACTTAAAAGAAGAACCCCCTCTTAGAAAGACCAACTTAAGAAATGAGTTGATCATAAGTTTAACTTTTTAGTCGAACCAGTTTAAAAGAATGAAATATTTCCATCTGCTGCAGAGACGGAAAAGTCTTTTAACCTTTTGCACTTAAATGTTAACATCAAACCAGTGACCTCTCCGAGCTCTTCACGCTTTTATCTTGCTTGAAACTTTAGAAAGTTAGAGGAATCTTTTTTCCTCGTGAGTATAATCAAACTTTTTTTTATTATATCACAGTTGGGTTTTTTGCGAACTCTTCTGTTTATCATACATATTTTATCTCCACTTATAATTATTTTCAAACCAGTGCGGTGTGGTTTACTTAATGCGGGTCATTTCTGTGAGATATCTTCATCCAGAGACCACCTCACACTGGCTTTTATATGTGGGCAGTGATTAAGCATGAATGGGTTGAGACAGCCTGACCTCCCCCCACCACAGACACACAAACACACCCTGTGTGACCTCTTTCTGCTGCGCCAGAGGGGATTTACAACAGAGAGAGAAAGGCCGACAGTGTTCCCTCTGCTTTTTGTTGCTGAGAGAAGTGCGAGTCCTCACAGAGGCACAGCACAGAGTTCGCTCCAGACATAAGTGGATTCAGAAGTTCAGTCCTCTTCCCTGTGGTGGGATTAGACTCTTCATAAGACTCTTCACAAAACAAGTAACTCCTTCTTCTTCTTCTTCTTCTTCTTCTACTTAACATTTTTGCTCGGAGTTGCTCAGATGCAGACTGGACGGATCTAGAATCTGGAAAAACGTTTAATGCATCTGCTCTAAAAAGGTTTCTACACTCCAGTAGTGCTGCAACCAAGAGTTATCTTCAGTTTCATTTCATGGTTTGTTGTCTGATGATATCTCATCAATTGTCTGAGTCAGATATTCAGTGAAGATATTTAGTTTTCTATCACATCAGACAAAGAGCAGAAGGAAACACTCACAGTTTAGAAGCTGGAACAAGGAAACGATTCTGATTGTTGCTTAGAAATAACATTGATTGTGTTAAACATTCAGAATAAGATGTTATTTTAAATATTATCTCTTGCCAGTTGACTACTCCATTCATATTCCTGTTTCATGTCAAAGAAGATTCTTCTTCTTTATCTGTCCAGTTTTAAATCCCACATTTTTTAACTTTCTTTCAAATTTTGCGAAAGCTACAACTCTTTTATTTTTCCATCTTGTTCACACTCAGGTCGTTTGTTGTCATCAGTTGTTAACTGTAAGTCAGTGTCACCACAATCCAACAGGACGTTCTAATGTATATTAACTGTATATGTATGTGTATATATGTATGAACCTATTCAGGTGAAGTTAGTCAGAACATGCTGTTTACATGTCAGTGTCTTATTCAGACTATTGTCTTGATCAGGTCAACATCAGAATATTCGTGTCCATGTAAATGTAGTTATTGGTATTTATATTTACTGCGAATGGACTAATCATCAAGCCCATACTTCTACACTGTCAAACCAGATGGAGACAAAAAAATAAAAGATCTTATACATTTCATGATGAAAACATCTCCTCTCCTCCTCCTCTCTTCTCCTCTCCTCTTCTCCCCTCCTCCTCTCCTCTCCTAGATAATGGCAGCTCAGCTCGGAGCAGTTCTCCTGCGGCAGTGGGATCTGACGAAGGCCTGGACTCAGCATCGGAGCCTGCAGCACGGACAGCAGTGACGGCGTCCGTCTTCTCCTCCGGGCGCAGGGTCACACGCAGCCAACAGGGGGCAACAAACAACACAGCTAAAAGATACCCGCTGCGCCAGAGTCGGTCGTCTGGGTCAGATACTGAGGCTAACGGTGAGAGCTGATGCTTTTAACGTCTATTTTAACCAAGTTGAGGCTGTTAAGTTTAGTCGTTCACCTCCTCTTGGTTGAAGGAGGAGACAAAGCACAAGAGGATGAGTTTGTGTGGACGTCAGAAGGAGGAGTAAAGGAAAAGACTGATGAGTAGATGAGAGAGTTGAGTTGGCAAGGAGGAGAGAACAAGGAGTGACCTTAAGATGAGATCTGTGTGTGTCTGTCGTTCATTGTGGAGCTAATATCATCAGGCCTGTCTGTTATCACAGCGTGTTCCTGATCATAAACAAAACTAATATGTCTGAGTTGTATGAATGAATGAATGAATGACCTCACAGAGACCAGGAGCTGTTGTTGTCTCACTTCAGCTCCTGGACGCAATTGAGTCTGTAATTAGTTTGTGAGCTTATTCAATGACATGATTCGTCATCTTAACAGTGAGTCATGTTGTGGAACGATATAAAGTGTGACGTGACGGTTCACAATTAATCATCGATGATGATTTATAGTCATCATAATTAACCATCATTTTAATTATGTCGATGACTCACAAACCTTCTTTATTTGCTCAAAGCAAAAAGATTAGTGATGTTAAGTTGACGTTAATAACTCATGTAAAAACGTAGAACGGTATATTAAATAAAAAATCTGTCAAACCTGTTATAAGCTTCGGAAATATTTAAAAACAATTTTGTTCCCTCATTATCATTACTCCTATGTCACTCTTAAATATTAAATATGTTACTGTCACCGATAATTACAACTTTTAACAAACAACGAATCCTCACTAGTAAAACAAAGTCAGGATATAACGATGTAGAAATCAATTATCGTTATACACATTAGACCAATAACTGATCAGTTCAAAGATTCCAACCAAACTTATGTCTGTCAATGTTTCCCTTGTCCTGATTGGCTCAGCAGATCTAAAGCAGGCCGAGGACCGGGACGAGACCCCTCCCCGCACCCCAACAGGCAACGCCCCATCCTCAGAGTCAGACATCGAGGTTTCCAGCCCGAGCAACGACCTCGTGTCGTCCAGCAACGACATTGTAGTTTCACAGGAGGAGGACGAGAGATTGGCTAAAGAACTGTCACTCAAAGAGGCCGCCGCCCATGACCTCTCTCACCGGCCCAAACGACGGCGCTTCCACGAGAGCTACAACTTCAACATGAAGTGTCCCACGCCCGGGTGCAACTCACTGGGTGAGGACATGAAGACTGCAGTGTGTTGATCTCCTGCTCGTACAGACCTTCTCTGAGCGTCCTGTCTTTATTTGTCTCTCCCTCTCTGTCCCTCCACATCAGGTCATCTAACAGGGAGACATGAGAGACACTTCTCCATATCAGGGTGTCCTCTCTACCACAATCTGTCTGCTGATGAATGCAAGGTACACACACACACACACACTGAATATTTAAATGGAAACACTTTGGTGCTTTAAAACAGAAGCTGTTTTGTTTTGTCTGTAAATTTCTCCTCTGTCATTTTATTTTGTGGTATTTTTAGACGACTATCTGTCACAGTGAAGTAAAAAAAACACATTTCTTCTACTGCTGTTTAGTTTCTTGCTCTTTGTCAAACCAAGATTCTTTAGTGGCAATATCCCACTGCGACCAAGTGTCCAGAGGATGAAACCGAAGGAATCCAACAGAATCAAATTGAAATAGTCAAGCTGTGAAGCCTCCAGGAACGTGGGGGTGGCCGCTGCCATGTTTCTGCTGCAGGGCTTGTGAGTGGTTGGTGGTAGACAGTGTTGATGTTTTGTCAGGGCAAGGCATCGACGCGCGACAAACAGGCTGAGGAAAGGACACTGTCGCACCGTCAGGATGAGAACAGACATTCCACGAGAAACCAGGTAAAAAACGCACAACACACACAAGTGCATCAGGCAAACATGACGCACGTTAAACACACACAGGTACACAAACCCTTTTTTTTTTGTTGGATTTCACCCGTCTGACTCACTTCGTCATGAGCTGAAGGTGTGTTTGTGCGTCTGTGTGCTCTGAGGGGAGTTCTTGCACACTGCTGCGTTTCTCTTAAAGCAGTAACTCCTTATATGAAATATAAACACGCAACATACCATAAGAAATACGTACGCGAGGAGAAAGGGGGGAAGTTTTCAAGGACAGGAATGAAGTGGGACTGATTATGTAAAATAAAAGATGAACACACTGCAACATATACGTTACAACACAAATGCAAACGCCACAATATAACCACAAAAACTACAACACAACTACATAAGTTGTTTTGTCCATGTTTGTCCACGTTTTCACAAACGGCCGCTCAGATGACTTCAGTCAGTAACTCTGCTCGTTTCATTGTCAGATGAGTCAAAACCGTGGGTTTTGAAATGTGTGTCCTGTTTCCAGGCTCCGACAGAGCGTCAGCTGCGCTACAAGGAGAAGGTGACGGAGCTGAGGAGGAAGAGGAACTCTGGCCTCAATAAGGAGCAGAAGGAAAAGTACATGGTAAGTGGGTGAGGACTGAATGTGTCGAACATAAGCATTTCTCCATATTGTGTTCTGAGAGTCTTTGTGGTTTTCCGCCCTCCGCCCCCACGTACAGGAACACCGTCAGAGCCACGGGGCGAGCCGGGAGCCGCTGCTGGAGAACATCACCAGCGACTACGACCTCGAGCTGTTCAGGAAAGCGCAGGCACGTGCCTCGGACGACCTTGTAAGAGAGAAAACTCATCATCATCCCCCTCCTTGTTCTCCTTCCTCTTATTTTTTTGTCCCCTCTTTTCTGCCTTACTCCTCTTCTTCTCTGTTTCAGTCTGCAAACCCTCCTTCGCAGCCAAAGGAGGAGTCTGAGATATTTTTGGTAGTTTGGAGAATCACTTCCTGTTGTTCTGTATATTTTCCTCTCCTGCTCTGTTAGACTGTGACTCGACAGCTCTGTCGTGTTCAATCAGGCTTCTCGTCAAACCTTCACATTAACGTTTGAGCCTCTCAGGTACAAAAGGCATACGCTCACTTTCCAGTGCAAACAACATATTTAGATACGTGACGGGCGTTTCAAGCTGTTGTTGGTTTCACTGCAAAATAATCTTTGAAAAACCTGGAGCTTAAAATAAGTAATTCACCAATTAGCATGTTTAAGAGTTCTCTGTTGTTTTTGTCTTTGTTGTAGTGGCATGGTAATGATGGAAGTTCATCTTAAACTCAAATACATCTAAAGTCCAGTTTTAGAAACAGATAAAATAAATAACGTCCCTGAAAATCTTTTCATTTATCTTTTTATACACGACACACAATGTTTTGTTTCATCCCTTCATTTTAAGCCTTTTCCTGTTTGTTCCTCATCCTATAATTTCCCACCATCTCGATATTGTGGATCTTTCTGTGACCGGTTTCCTCCACTGAGGTTCCTCCTAAGTTTGATCTTTGGCTCACCAGATCCTCTTCCCTACATAATTGAGATCTTTTCCTCTTTCTCTCCCCTCTCTCTCTGCTCGCCTGCCCTCTCTTCTTGTCCTCTTTATACCTTGTCGCTCCGTCCCCCCATCTCCTCATCCCTCCTGCCCTGGCCCGTACAGGAGAAGCTCCGTCTGTCCGGTCAGGTGTCGGAAGGCAGCAACATGATAAAGACCATCGTGTTTGGACGTTATGAGCTGGACACCTGGTACCACTCTCCTTACCCGGAGGAGTACGCCCGCCTGGGGAGGCTCTACATGTGCGAGTTCTGCCTGAAGTATATGAAGAGCCAGACCATTCTACGCAGGCACATGGTGAGGCAGCTCTCTGGAGGCATCTTCACGACGTGTTGTGTGTTGCCTGAGGCGATTCATCATTTCATTCTGAGCGGCCGTTCGGAGCTGGGATCTGAAACGGACCTCTGTTATCGTTGTGTTTGAATTAAGAACTCCTCTGTTTTGTCTCTGTTGCATAAAGGCAAAGTGTGTGTGGAAGCATCCTCCAGGAGACGAGATCTACAGAAAGGGAAACATCTCCGTCTTTGAGGTGGATGGAAAGAAGAACAAGGTAAGAGGGAGCAGCACATGTCCTCCTGACCTCCAGAGGGTCCAGGAGTCATCGATCGTCGTGCGCTTGATCGTTAAACCTCTCGTGAAGCAGAGTGAGCAGTGATTGACTGAAGAGGAAGTGACACAGTTCAGATAAATCCATGTTTCCTGTGTTCCACTGTGGACGGAGGCATCTGTACATAAACTGTACAACAAGAAATATAGAAAAATAAATGAGGGAAACTGGCAACAAGTTCTTTTAAATTACTGACTGCGGTAATTATTGTGTTTCTTGTTGCTTCTCACTGACGTGTGTGTCACTCCTCTAAACCCAGTAATCCAGGGAACTCGTCTGTGTTTTTACACAAAGACACACACACACACACACACACACACACACACTGACTGTATATTATATTGTATAAATTACACAGGTCATCATGTCACTGTTCTCTTCCACACAGATTTACTGCCAGAACTTGTGTTTGCTGGCCAAACTCTTCCTGGACCACAAGACTCTGTACTACGACGTCGAACCTTTCCTCTTCTATGTCATGACTGAAGCTGACAACACGGGCTGCCACCTCGTCGGATACTTCTCTAAGGTAGCGAGGGAGTCAGGTGCCGAGGGCAACGTGTTGTATGTCTGAACTATGTGAACAGAAACATTTAAGTCAAATGTTTTCCAGAGAGACGCTGGAGACAGATGAAAGTCCCTCAGCACGTGAAATTATATTTGATTCTGTGTTTACGCTGTCTGATTTATTCAGCGAGTCTCTCTGGGTTTTATTACCTGTTTTAAAATCCTCTTGATCCTCAGCCTGCGTAAATATCACTCACCTCTAATTCTAGAATATCAGCACTGACAATCAACCTTGAAAAACGTGTCTCAGCTGAACCGTCGTGTTTATGGATTGATTCTCTTTCTGCAGGAGAAGAATTCTTTCCTGAACTACAACGTGTCCTGCATCCTCACCATGCCTCAATACATGAGGCAGGGCTACGGCAAGATGCTCATAGACTTCAGTGAGTACAGAACGCAGAGTGTGAATTTATCCCGAGCTGCGTTCAGACCTGCGCTGAACTGTGGAGGGGGTGCATGTGTGAACGCAAAGGGAGGTGGGGGGGAGGTCACACACGTAGAAGACACTGACGAAGACGTCAAGAGTTTGTGGTGATGAGAGCTGACGACACAGGAAGCCACAAAACATTGTCCTTTGCCCCAGAGGCTGATTCGACGATAGCTGATCAGCTCCGAGGTCGGCTGTTGTTTGACGGTAAAACTACTAAAAGCTCTAAAATCTCTTTCACCAGGTTACCTGTTGTCTAAGGTGGAGGAGAAGGTGGGTTCACCCGAGCGTCCTCTGTCTGACCTGGGCCTCATCAGCTACCGCAGCTACTGGAAGGAGGTGCTGCTGCGCTACCTGAACAATTTCCAGGGCAAGGAGATCTCCATCAAAGGTCAGGAGAGGACCGGGCTGCCTGTGTGTTTGTGTGTTATCTGCATTCATGCGTTCAGCTGCGTGCGCCTTTGTGAATGGACCAGAACGTTAACGTGATAAATGAAGGTGGACGCACACGACAGTAACGGTCGTCCAGGACGAGGCCACTCCTGACACGTTCAGGGGACCGAGCGGGAGACGCCGTGCTCAGCCCATCGCTTTTTATTCTGCTGTTTTCATCGTGTAAAGAAAAACGAGAGTCTGCCGCCATGTCTCTGTGGGACGAAACCCAGAGAGCGAAATGCTAAAAATAAAGATGTAGCTACAGCAACCATCAGTGTGATAACACTACAAATAACTCAGTGATAACACTCTGTTCCATCCCTTCACCTTTTTAAATCTTTGTTTTTTTTAATTTTCTCAGAGTTCTCCTGCAGAGAAGAGCGGCTCAGCTTGATTAGTTCTAACTACACCGCTGTGTTTCCACATGTCTCTGGATGTCTTATAGTTTTATGTCGCTTGGAAACAGCACAAGCCAGTTTCCTCCCTGCTTCATATTTAATTTAGTTTGTTCACAGTCGCAGCCAGTATCTGCTCTCAACATCGGCCCAAATTGAAATTCCTCTGTTTGGGATAGATTCTTGTCTCCCGCAGGACGAGTCGTAGTAACTTTCCTTTCACAAACTTTTCAGCAGCAGCTTTAAACCCCCCCCCCCTCTGGTTTTACTCTTGTGTTCACAGAGATCAGTCAGGAGACGGCCGTGAACCCAGTGGATATTGTCAGCACGTTGCAGTCCCTCCAGATGCTCAAGTACTGGAAGGGGAAGCACCTGGTTTTAAAGAGACAGGTAAGAGACAAGGATCTGCCA